CGATGGTGTAAGTGTGTTGAGAAATTCCACATCTGACAGCCACGATGGGCGCCGAGGCTTGTATGATCCAGCTGTCACATTCGACGGGCTAGTGCTCAACGAACCGGTACCCGACATTGCGGGGAAGAATAAGGCAGAGAAAGCCTTCTTGATGACTGTGAGAAGTAGAGGCTCGCCTGATGAGAAACTGAACATAGATGAAACTGGTGACTGCACAGCTGGCACATCTGATGCTCCCGCTAATGCGGTGGTAGCGGCTCCCACATTCATGGAAGCCGTTCCATTTGCTACAACTTGGGCTAGATGCTCGGATGAAGATTGCTGGGGAGCATCCGCCCCAGACCAGCGGCCATCAGCCAGCCAGAAAAGAGCTCTCCAAATCGCCCTCATCGACCATGGCAGCCACCCAAGCCAGACGAACGCAACGAGTACAAACCGCAGCCATGTGACAATAGTGCGAAAACTATGGATTAGTAGCTGTCGGAGAAAAAGCGGAGCAGGGAGATTCTGGGGCATATTCGGATCGTATAACTTCGTAAAGCGGAAGGGCGTTTTGCAGAGTTCGCAATGCTTCTTCTGAGAGTGGGACAGCCATTCTACCAGGCATGCCTGGTGAACGAACTTGATGCTCCCGCTACATTTGCACGGATAGAAAAGTTGTTCCTCCTCGGTACCCTCACCACGGCATATGCGACAAGTGTCTGGCTCTTCATACTCCCTCTCCTTCCCCTTATAGTTCGTCTGATAGGCCGGGTCATTCATCAGGTCGGGGAACGAGGTAGAATGGGTATAATCCCGGGACGAGCCCTCGGGAAACTCCATTTTGCGCAATCAACGTCGACTCGACGAGCTTATCGTCTTCAGCAGCGGCAATCAGATATCATGTTCGGAAAGGCGTGTAGCAACGCGAACAGGTACGTGTGAACCGAGAAGGCGAGATGACGGAACGGAGACACTACGCCAGGGGATTCTCTCGCGATTTGGTACAATCCTCCTTCAACAAGAGTTTTAAATAGTTGCTGCTAGGAGAAAATCCACGTCAGTGTTCAACCATAGGCGGGTATCCGTAGGAGGCGTATGTGGCAAGACGCAAAGCAGTCGGTGGAAAGGCAAAAGACCAGCCAAAGCTGTGGTTCACCTGAACTGGTCGATCCCCCCAACATATGCTGAATCAGCACAAGACCCTCCATGTCCCGGTCATGTGATATTACGGTACAGTACTATCAAAGGCGGTGAGGGGCTGCCCAATTGCCTGCATAAATGTAGATCTGTATGTCAGATTCTGTAAGACTGTATTGTTAAGTGCCACCGAAGGACCGATGACCTCACAGCTCCTTACAACAAAGGCTAATTACTATGGCTATTGTTGTTGTTCCCTGAATCCAGCAAGCGTGTTGTTGACAACTGGAGATCTACTCTGTGATCGACAGAGCACCCACTCCAAATCTCGTCATTCAAGCCTTGCTTTCCCTCCGTTCTAGATATATACCGTGACACTGTCTGTTCCTTTCCCGTCAAGACACAGATAAACTGGTATTACAGAGTACCCCTCTAAAGCTCGACGGCGCCAAGGCGGAGACGGGAATTGATCGTCGCGTGCGCTTCGAGGATCCTAGCTTGTGATTCCGGAAAAACGTTGCTAAGACCCTTTCATCTCCCCCCCAAAGTCGACTGGGCCCTTTAGTTTGTCCGAATTTCCGGAAGGCTCAGGAGATAATCTACGCCTCACCATCTTTGACTCAGTCATTCATCTTCTATTGACACTGAATTGGACACGCGACGCGAGTTTCCAGTTTTTTGCCCGCCGGACTCGAAGCGAGTGGCACCCCCGTTGACGACGGGGACGACTCATGATGACCGTTCCGGATAATAGCCACGCCCCGGATGGGGCCGATCGGATAATAAAATCCAGGAGCAGTGCTTCCAAGCCAAGCAAACGAGGAACTATCCGGTGGACAGTTGGGCTGGTGGTGCGGTAAGTCTTGCTTAAAAAGCTAGACCGGGATCTTCGGTCCACCGCGTTATGGAGTTGAACCGTTGCTAATCTGGCGATCAAACTGATAGGCTCTGTATCTGGTATGCTCTTCTTACGCCATTCCTGCGCTGCCCTTCTCAGCTCTCCGACCTTACGGATTCCTCGCCGCGAGTATGCAAACCATACCTTGTTGCTCGCTCCTATGTCGAGCCCCATGTGATGCCGTACTATAACGCTTATGGCGCGCCATATGTCGAGACAGCGCGCCCATACGTGCAGGTTCTCAATGAGAAAGTCTACGCGCCCACTTCGCGCGTCGTCAAGCACGGATATGAGAGATTTGGGGCACCCGCTTTGGATAAAGCCCAGCTTTATGGCCAGCAGCAGTGGGAGACGATTGTCGTCCCACAGTTGCAGTCCGCTAAGGACAGAGCAAATGGCTTGTACCAATCTCAAGTATATCCCCATGTTCAAACCGTCGAGGCGGCCCTGTCACCATCCTTCCAAAAGGCCAACGGCGCGATCAAGTCTGCATATGGAGATTACCTTCTCCCATTCGGCGCAAAGTATAGGCCTTTCATCGGTAAGACCTATACAGCGGGCCAGGATATGCTCACTACAACCGTACTCCCTTATGCGCAAAACTCATGGTCGGCGGCTATCTACTTCATTCATAGTACATTATGGCCCAGAGTCACCGGAGTCTACTCTCAGAATGTCGAGCCTCAGCTAGTTAAGATCGGAGAAAGACTGGCAAGTTATCGTGAGGAGAAGAGGCTGCGACAGGTTGCAGAGGAAGTGGAGAGGTAGGCTTTTATGGCTGTAATATATTTGCTTCATTTGTTAACTTGTCATTCACAGTGCATCTCAACAAGCATCGTTTCTCACTGCACCAAAGGCTACTGAGGTGGACGACTTGACGACGTCGTCCACAACCGAGCAAGCTACCGCAACGCCTACGCTGTCGCCAACTGAACAAGCTGCGAAAGCACGCAATAGCATCGAGAATGACCTGCGCACCTGGCAACAAAAGTTTGCCGTTGCTGCAGAGAAGGGGCTCGAGGATCTTGAAGAGCGCTTACAGGAGATAGTCGACGGGTTCATTGGAAGTGGCGTTCGCGCACATGGAGAAAGCTTGGCGACCGCATTGGAGGCCGTTGTTGACAACGAGCTTCTAGCTCTTAAGCGTCATATCAACAACCTCGCCGAGTCCTTGCCCAAAGAAGACGTGCCACAAGAGGAGCAGGCAGCGACAAACGAGCTTTTCGGAAACATCAAGGAAGCCGCAGTGTCTATCCGGGACCGTGCTCATGCCCTTCGAGAATGGCGCCATTCCTTCGACCAAGAGCTTACAAGGCGCGTTTCTTTCGCAATCAACTCTACACTCGATGTCTTGGATAGCGTTCGTGATCTCGGACTTCAAGAGGTCGGCATGCGTTGGGCCTGGATGGATGGTGTTACCTACAAGGATTGGGCTAGGTACCATGCATTGAAGGCGCAGTTCGAGGAATGGAAGGATGAGTTCTTGGAATTTGGCCTTCAGCATGCGAAGCTTGAGGAAGCGAGAGCAGTAGCGGATGAGATCTTGTCGCACGGAATGGAAGTTGCTGAGGCCGCCGCCAAGGAGCTGACCCGGCTGAGGGACGTTGGCAAGTGGAAGATCGCTGCCAGGGAAGCAAGCGATGACTTTGACACCAGATCTGAGCCTCCGCCTTCGTTGCCTAAGCCTAGCCGTGCCCCCAAGCCTGTTGTGGATGAAGAAGGACTGGCAGATGAGTCAGCCGATGCTGAGCGTCCGGATGGGACTGTCTTTGCTTATGATGCTGCCTCTCGGGCCGCGAATGACGGATCTGACGGCGACGAGGAGAGTATGGCAGATGATGAGGAGCACGCCTCGCCCCAGGCTAACGGTGGATTGCCTTCGGAATTCGAGTCGACTAGCCCTTTGGACAATGACCAGAATGCCGATGAGCTGAAGGGGGCATGGGGAGTAGCCGCGGCTGATGTGAGAACCCCGTCGGAAGGCGAAACACCACAGGCTTCTGGTCCCCCATTGTCGGCTGAGCAGCAACAGGCTGTTGCGGATCTCATCTCGGGTCTACTTGTGGACAAAGACTCTGCCTACGCTGAAGAGATCATGAACAAGCTGCACTCAATTTACGGGACTCCAGCGCCAACACCAGAGCCTTCTGTAGCATTTGACGACGCTTCTGATGAGGTCAGTGATTTCGATGCAGAGGCTACGAATGTCCCCTTCCCGGAATCTGAAGAGCCTATCCACGAAACCGATGAAGCGTCGAATGCATCATCCGAAGCAGACTTCGAGTCTAGTGCTATCGTCGACGACGAGGATAACAACGAAGAGGTGCAAGACGCCCCCGAGTCACTCCCCGAGGACATCGAGATAGAGGAGGTCGAAGAGGACTCGCCCATGGATGACGTTGAATCGTCCTCCGCAACTCTGGCTTCCAGTGCCAGCAGTGTTGTATCCGAGGCTGAGGAAACCATCATCCCTGAAACAACCCCAGCCGGCGAAGACAACTCTGCAGAGGAGTTGTAACCTGAGACAAGACAGACAAACAAACAGGGTTGGCTGTTATTTGGCAATTCTTTCATGATTTGATATCCCAAAACATTCTTGTTATTCGCTCGATTTACCATCTCAGGTCGGCCATGATATTCCCCACATAGTTTCCCCACGATTTGTACGTCATGATATAGCATTTCCATTCCCCCCTTATACCACCAGAACTTCCTCTTCCTACCTTTGCTGTGTACTATGTGCTGTTTTATTTGTTTCAATTCTTGTAACGGCCACTCGTGCTCCAACATTTATGTGCCCCTCTGGCACCGAAACCTTTTGCTTTTTGGGAAGCGCTCATCTCGCATCCAATCTATCTTCAGACACATTAAAATACAATTTGCTTGACCACAAGAAATGGTCAAATCCAACCGCGCAATGCGTAGCCATCCGTAGTAATATATATGCATAAGCCATCCCCGAACATCCACTCCAATCAAAATCCCAAAATAACAACCCACCCCTCCGAAGACCATCTCACCGATACTGCACCCCCCTAGCACCCCTCTTCTCCATCTTCTTCTGCCTCTTACTCTCCGCCGCACCACCTCCCTGCTCCTGCCCAGCACCCGCACCTCCCATACCCGCCAACCCACTCTTCATCCCCATAAAGGTACTATACGCCAGCCAGACCGAATACACCGGCACAACAATCCACAACCACCAAGCACGGTCCCCAAACAAGCAGGCAGCTCCAAGACATCCCCACGTCCAGTACAGCACGTCCCACATGTATTCCGTTAGTCCTGCGGCGCCGAGATCCTCGCCGGGAGAGCGGAGGGATCCATCAGCGGGGTTGTAGACCGGGCGGCCGAGGCGTTCAAGGTAGAATTCGATGAGAAGGGTCGGGCAGGCGAGTGTGAAGTAGGGTGTTAGGGAGCGGGGGCGGTTGAAGAGCCAGTGGAGGGTTAGGAAGAGGATGTGCAGGGCGGCACTGATGAGATGGGTGCGGGTGAGGAGGGACGCGTTGCGCGCAGCGAGGGTTTTGGCGGCTTTCTGTTGAGAGGTAGGTTAGTTATTTGAGTGAAGGTATATATTTTATGGGGGGAGGAAGCGGGGTATACTAACTTGAGCCATGGCTGTAAGTGGTGGTGGTAGTGTGTGGTGTGAAGTTGAGATTAATCTGGTATGATCGGATGACGATGCAGGTCGCGTGCGGATGCAAGTCAGGGTACTGGGTTGTAGGGTGTAGTGGGGGGTGGGTGGAAATGACAGGGAGCGATGATCCGCTCAGTGAATAAATTAACTAGCGATAAGCAAGTTGCATGATCGGGGAGGGATAAGGAGTCCAGATAATCGATTGATAGATTTGATTGATAGTGGGAGTGAAGATGAAAGTAAGTAACACTTGTAGTAACAGTAATAGTAGAAGATGGCGAATAGGGAATGGCGTTGCCCACCACAACCAACTGTAAGTTACTAACAGCCAAGCCGCCCTCCGCCTCTCACCAGCCACGCTCTCCGCCAGATTCGCTGCTCCAAAACATCGCCAGAAAAGGCGTCGTGAACTACGACTTCTGTCGGACTTTGCCGCTTCGCCCTTGGGCCTACTTTGGGCTTCTTCCGCGTGTATCTTGTCTGCCGCTTTCGTTGTCTGCTCGTCGCGACATGCGATTTGACTCCCTTTGACACCTTCCTGGGCCCTACACGGCGTCACGAGTCGTCCGGACGTCATCCACTTTCCCTTTCTCCTCTGCCACAGCTTCGCACTTCAACCCACCCCCTCTCGACTAGTCTGATCTGTGGCGGAGATCTAGACAAGAACTGTTGCGATCCATCGGGCGCAAACGAGCCAGGCGATATACTTTACTGGTCATTGTTTTGACGGGTGTTGACGGTCTAACAATCTTTTTTTCTCTCTGTTCCCTATCTATACAGTTGAAAGAAACACCACGTCGTCGTTGCCTCACATCCGGTTCACGCGGCGCTCCCCTCACATCTCTTAGTGTTCTTTTAATCCCTTTGGACTCTTTCTCAACTCCACCCATGCTGGTTCGGTGTTAACAAATTAACGGCCTCACCTGTCGCTCACCTGTTCCTTGATTCCGCAAAGCTCCCTTCGCGCCGTTCCCAATACGGACGTCAATACCGCCTCCTCTCCTGCAGCGCCTCTGTGATATCGCCCCCCCTCCTTCTCTCCCTCCTCCTTGAATGAATCCCACACCTCACCATGTCACCCTCCACCGCACATATATCGAGCCAACTTAGGCAATTAATATATTACCATCTTGATAACAACCTCGTCCGTAATGCGCTTTTCCTTGCCGGTCGGTTGCACGCCTACGAACCCCGAGCAGCGGAATCTTCATATTTACTCGCCTTGTGCCATCTCCAGAGCGGTCAAGTGAAAGCAGCATACGATTACAGCAAGAACTTTGGATGGCGAGGCACTCACCTGGGCTGCGCGTATGTGTTCGCTCAGGCATGCTTGGACCTGGGAAAATATCCTGAAGGCATCACGGCGTTGGAACGAAGCAAAGGACTCTGGTCCACAAAGAACCATTGGGGTACGCTTTGTTCAGCACTTCCTTGTAGTATTATGCTTGTCGCAAATGGACGCGACTATCATTTCAGGCTGATCACAGCTGACATTTTCTTTTCGCCGTTCCAGGAAAACACAGCGAAACGCGCAGGCAACATTTACCCGATGCGGCAGCGGTGCTATGTCTACAGGGCAAGCTGTTCTACGCGCACAATGAACTCAATGCGGCTGTTGAATGCTATGTCGACGCGCTCAAGTTGAATCCGTTCATGTGGGACGCTTTCTTGGGCTTGTGTGAGACTGGTGAGTATCGCGGGCGGATGGGGAGAATGCTGTCGCTAATTGTTCAAAGGGGTCAACATCCGCGTTCCCAATATCTTCAAGATGACACCCGAACTCAGCGCTCTATTAGCATCCTCCTCACAAGATGACTTGGACGTGTCTTCGGATAAGGCAGCACATCCCGCAGGTCCCTTGCAGTCGCAACCGAAACTGAACTCGAGCACCGATCCCTTTACTTCTTTGACGTCTCGGACTGAGGCAGTTGGCACGCATGGGAGCTCCGCTCTCTGGGAGAAGCTAAATGGCAGCACGGTCAGCGTGGCATCCACGGGTACATCAGCAGTTCCGGCAATCCGAGAAGGGACCGAAACACCTGGAGGCCAAAGCAGTGAGTCGGACGACCGCGTCATGCACCGGACAGACGCACCTTTGGAGCCGCCCTTGGCACCTGCACGGAAGAACCGAACAATACAAACGATTAGTGCCGATCACGGCATGGACTCCCCACCAAAGATGAAGCCTACGGGTATCCGACCCCGGACCAGAACTAAGCCCGAGCCCGATGAGTCGACTACAACCTATACGGAGCGCGAGCTCTCACACGGAGTCCGTGTGGGCGACCGCAAGCGAACTGTCTCTGGATCAGTTGCTCATTCCGCGCAGCAACCCACCGAACCTGGCGCGCCGCAACGGCGGAGCGTCCGCCTCTTCAACCAGATCAAGCCTACTACGAGCAAACTTTCTAGTACGGCGCTGGGGACAAAGGATGGTCGAGAAATGAAGAAGGTCAGGGCTACTGGTGCGAAGGGTCGAACTACAACCGCTCCTAGTGTGGGCCGGGTCGTGAGTGGCAATCGAAAACACATCGGTGACACGCATGATGGCGAGGCCAAGGACCACCGGCCAGCCACCTCGGCATCGAATGGGACGCACCACACTTCATCGAGAGGACCTTCGCTTGATCGGTCTAAAGCTGTGGAGGCATTGACATGGTTATTAGAGCTGTTCTCGAAGTTGGCGTCCGGATACTTTGCGTTGTGTCGCTATCGTTGCGCTGAAGCTACCCAGATATTCGCGGCCCTGTCTCAAGGGCAGCGGGAGACTCCATGGGTACTCTCCCAAATAGGTCGAGCATACTACGAGCAGGCGATGTATTCCGAAGCCGAGAAATACTTTGTCCGGGTCAAGAGTATGGCTCCGTCCCGGTTGGAGGATATGGAAATCTACTCAACGGTGCTCTGGCATCTGAAGAACGATGTCGAGCTGGCTTATCTGGCGCACGAGCTCATGGAAACAGACCGTCTCTCCCCTCAGGCCTGGTGCGCTGTTGGCAACTCATTCTCCCACCAGCGGGATCATGACCAGGCTCTGAAGTGCTTCAAGCGAGCCACGCAACTTGATCCTCATTTCGCGTACGGGTTCACTCTGCAAGGACATGAATATGTGGCCAACGAAGAATACGACAAGGCTCTCGATGCGTATCGACACGGCATCAGCGCTGACAGTCGCCATTATAACGCCTGGTATGGATTGGGTACGGTATACGACAAGATGGGCAAGCTCGAATTTGCCGAACAGCATTTCCGCAATGCGGCCAACATCAATCCTACAAACGCCGTGCTTATCTGCTGCATTGGACTGGTATTGGAGAAGATGAACAACCCCCGCGGGGCTCTCGCCCAGTACGGCCGGGCCTGTCAATTGGCGCCTCACTCGGTTCTCGCTCGCTTCCGCAAGGCTCGCGTGCTGATGAAGCTTTCGGAGCTCAAGTTGGCACTCACCGAATTGAAGGTCCTAAAGGATATGGCACCGGATGAAGCCAACGTGCATTATCTGCTGGGTAAACTCTACAAGATGTTGCATGAGAAGGCGAATGCTATCAAGCATTTCACGACCGCTCTGAATTTGGATCCCAAGGTAAGTGTTGAACCCTCACTATCCCTCGCCAAACTCGAATGCACCAGCTAACAGCTTCAGGCGGCGCAATACATCAAGGATGCCATGGAATCCCTGGATGATGATGAAGAGGATGACGAAGATATGGCATGATTTTCTTTCTCCCTTGTTCTTAGTATTCTTCCTGCTTCCCCTGTGTACTTCTTTGACGGGTTCCTGTTGTACATGAACCCATCTGTACCATGGAATCCCTATTGGCGAGGAGCGGCGTTTGTCTTTTCTCTTTCTCTCTTTCTGGGTTGAATTTGCACCAGCATCAGCATTACGAGGGCGTTCGCCGGTGGGTTGGTTAGAACTGGCATTGCGAGCATCCAGACCTCGCGAGGGTCGAGGCATCTGGATTGGATTCTGTATGTTAGCGTGGGAGGCTGGGAAGGGACGAGGCCGGACGACGGAGCTGAACATATCTTCTTGGAAGACTGTTGTCCGAGCGCCTGCATAATCGAGCTATTATTAGCACATTGATACCCACTTGTCTTCATACTTGTAGAGCAATGATACTAGATTCAGTTGGCTGGCGGTTGAGTACTATACCGGGATGTTGGGCGGAGCAACAGGCGGTGAGGCGGCAGAAACCGGCGGAAATCCATCCAAATCCGTTGAGACCGAAAGACGAGAGTTTGGGATTCATTGGATGCCGCGAAGATCTCCCTCTCTGTTCCCCTAAATTCAAGGTTTCTGTCAATCTTCTTCTCACTCTCCTTCTCTTCCTCCCCGACATCCCTCTTCCTAGTCCTCCTCCGCTTCCTCCTCCCCTTCTTCCCGCCACCCCTACCGCCGGGTCATGCACCGTCTTTGCGGCCCTCTCGCCTGACCTCGTCATCCCCAAAGTCCGCATACCCCAGAGAACCCCAGGTTCGCTTTGCCCCGAGCCCACCCTTAGGCTTCTGGCTATAAAGCCCCCATCTAACCCGTTCCTGATGCAGATCAGCCGGTTCTCTTACCCCACCTGAAAACCTCCTCTCCACCACGACCACCATGTCCCTCTTCTCCTACGTCGCCTCGGGCATCAGCTCCTTCGTCGTCTTCACGCTCTCTCTCTTCGCCCTCGGCCAAAAAGTTCCCCGCGCCGCCTTCGTCGCCCGGTGTCTCGCCGCCTATGGCTCCCTCCTCCTCTGCGCCACCTACGGCGTCGTCGCCTCAATTGTGCTCCGGATCGCTGGCTACGGCCGCATCTCGCAATATGCCACCGCGCGCAGTTTCAAGTGGGTCATGCGCTACACCACCGGCGTGACTTTCAACATCATCGAAGGTGCTGAACACCTGAACACCCGACCCGCCGTGTTCATCGCAAACCACCAGTCCGAACTGGACGTGCTCATGCTCGGCTACATCTTCCCTCCGTACTGCAGTGTCACGGCCAAGAAGTCCCTCAAATATATCCCCTTCCTCGGCTGGTTCATGTCCCTCTCTCGCACCGTCTTCATTGATCGTGCCAACCGCGAAACGGCTGTCAAGGCCTTTGATAGTGCTGCCGATGAGATGCGCAACCATCGCCAGAGCGTCTTTATCTTCGCCGAGGGCACGCGCAGCTACTCTGATACCCCGGAACTGTTGCCTTTCAAGAAGGGTGCGTTCCATCTTGCGCTGAAGGCGGGTGTGCCGATTGTGCCGGTGGTTACGGAGAATTACTCGCATGTGCTATCTCCCCGGAACATGAGGTTTGAGCCGGGCACGATCAAGATCAAGGGTACGTTTCACCCTCTTCGCCTTCTGGCTGGATTTATGAAGTTCTAACTACCAATAGTCCTCCCCCCAATCAGCACGGAAGGTCTCACGACCGCCGACATCGACGCTTTGACCAAGTCCACGCGCGAGTCCATGCTCAAGACCCTGCTCGAGTTGGCCGACAAGGACAAGCAGGAGGTGGATTCGGCGGTTGCCGCGAACGGCAAGTCCACTGCTGTGGAGCTGTAGGGATAACAAACAGGTCAACTTGTCCGGCTGATTGAATTAATGTTATCCCGTCTTCTACGATTACACGACACGATTGCTTAAATTGGCGAGACAGAGAGGGAGTGTGTGTGTGTGGATACCCCGACTGGTTAGGGAAACAGCAACAGATGTTGATGGGGCGAGAGGAGCTGACTGGAGGGACATAAATCCAGTAGAAAGAAAGACGCAGCGGGGGGTAAAGTAAAGACCTTGTCTTGGAGTTCGTCTGGCCATCCATTGCATGACGCGGCCCATGGGTTTCTTTCCTAGAGTGTATATAGAGCATATTCTTAATGCTTTTTTAGACCGTCACTTCACCAAAACCAACCTACGCAAACCACAATACCCACATGTTGTAGATAAGATACCATCACCCCAAACAAGCACACCTCCCCTCCGCACACTCCCTAACATCCCCCTCAACATCCAACCTCCTCAACCCCTCCCATACATCCTCCCCGTCCCCCTCTACCCTCCCAACCCTACCCCCCCTAGCAGCCGTCGCAACCAAATACCCCCCCTCAAACGCCTGCACCTCCACCCTCACCTCCTTCACCTCTCTCCCCTTCATCAACACCCTAACCCCACGATAAACCTCCCCATCCGTATCGGGAACCCTCACATCCAAGAACTCCAACTCCCTCAACCACTCCGCCAACAACGCCTCCCCCGTCATCTTAATATACGCCTCCTTCAGCGCCCAATACGCAAAGAACACCCGATAACTATACACCACCCCCTCCGTCGACGACACCGAGTACCCGTGAACAGGATGCGTCAGGGACTTTATTAACGACAGTTCCCTCGCAGAGAATATCTCCGTGAAGATGGATACGTACTCCAGGAATGCGGAGCGGGTAGGCGGGGATGGGTTCCGCGGGGAGCGGAGGTGTTCTGTTGTGCTGGTGATGTCGATTCCGACTTGGATTTCTTGCTGGTTGGCTGGTTTGGGGTTGGGTGGGATGGTGGTGCCGGCTAAGGCGACCATTGAGTCTTGGTGGCTGACGTTGAATTCGACTACTGGGATTGGGGCGGTGGATGAGGAGGAGAGGATTGCTGCTGATGGGATGAAGCAGGGTCGGTGGTGCGGAGCTGGGGTCCGGCTGATGGTGATTTGGGACCAGGGGATGCGGCAGGTGCGGTGGATGAAGAGGTATTTGAGCAGGTTGGAGGCGAGGGACATGTGCCGGTCCTTGAGGTGGTAGTATTTCTGGATGGCTTGTTGTTCGGTGGGTTGGAGGGTCTCGAGGAGGGGGAGGGCCGGAGAGGTGCTGGTTAGGGGCCGGGTGTCGATGTACCACCGGACGAGGGTGGGTTTGGGATCGGATGGGGTGGGCATTTTGGGTGGGTTGGTGTGGTGATGTTCAATGGAGTGAGATGTGAGATGTAAGATGTAGTGGTGTATCTTAGCTGATGTGAGGAGATCGGGTGTCTATGCGGAGGTGAGATGAGGGGTTGGATTGCTTTTCCACGAGGGTCATTGATGCATTCCGAGATTCAGGTACACCAATTATAAGCCTCAGCGCCCTACACAATGGTCCACGACCAGTTTATTGTCACAGCAAAGTAATGAAGGCAATAAATCTAGAATGTCAACATCTCCAATGTCAGGCTGAACGCGGGGCAGCACGTGGTGATAAGCGGTCCGACATTGATCCGCTGACATAAGGCGGCGTTGCTCCCATCAAATAAAGTATAGAGAGTTTGGAGTCATAGTTCTATTGTTGCCGCCACTGACTCACATTCTATACTTCGCCATGGGCTGCATCACTGTCGGCGTGCTCGCCTTGCAAGGCGCCTTCTACGAACATATCCAGTTGCTGAAGAGTGCGGCCGCCGATTTGCCCGCCAAAGACCGCAGTTCCGCCTCGCAATGGGACTTCATCGAAGTGCGCACCCCGCAGGAACTCGAGCGATGCGATGCGCTGGTGCTGCCCGGAGGCGAAAGCACAACCATGGCCCTTGTTGCCGCTAGGTCTAACCTTTTGGAGCCTTTGCGAGACTTTGTCAAGTATGTCTGGTCGATTTTCCGCATCATTGCTCTATGGTTCATACTGATTGGCATCCAGGGTCCATCGGAGGCCTACTTGGGGTACCTGCGCCGGTCTGATCCTCCTCGCTGAGTCGGCCAACCGCACAAAGAAAGGTGGTCAGGATTTGATCGGTGGGTTGGACGTGCGTGTCAATCGCAACCATTTCGGCCGACAGACCGAGAGTTTCCAGGCCCCTCTCGACCTGCCCTTCCTGGGCGCTAATCAGCCCGCCTTCCCCGCCGTCTTTATCCGCGCCCCCGTCGTGGAGAAAATCCTCCCTCACCAAGAGGGCGAACAAGTGGCCGAGGCCCAGCGTGAAGAAACTGTCATTGCGCCGGCGCGCCAGGCGGAAGACGAGGTCGCTCGTCAAGCCATGGCAGATAGTGTGGAGGTTTTGGCAGCTCTGCCCGGACGGGCTGCCAGATTGGCCTGCCAGGGAACGCCCATTAACGCCGATGACGAGACGGGGGACATTATCGCGGTCCGCCAAGGGAACGTCTTTGGAACAAGCTTCCACCCGGAGCTGACTGACGATGCCCGCATCCACGCGTGGTGGTTGCGCCAGGTCGAGGAATCAGTGAAGAAAAGACATGCCGCGCATCACACATAAAGAGGCAACATCATGACTGATGATGCATAGCGTTGGGGTAGTGGATGTAAATTTTTCTTTCTTGAATGCCTTTCTAGCAATGATAGAAATAGATTGTACATATAAAAACGCCGTTTTTGCGCCAACCTGAATATGTCTGTCTTCCCCTTTTTACTTACCCTTGCCGTACTCCTCTTCCTCCCGTCGTCGCTGGTCATCTGCATAGGCACGTCCATAGCCACCACGGCCAGGGTCGTATTCCTCGCGGTACTCGTCGCGGACCTGACCACCCGATTTACCACGTCTACCAACGTCAGCAGCCTGCACCTTTGAGAATCCCGATCATGTACATACCCGTATTGCCGACCCTCCTCGAAGCCAGGATCCAGATCCGTCCGGATAATTCTCTCATCCAGCTTTGTGCCACCAATGTATTTCAAACAGTCCAGCGCATCCTGGTGGGTGTAGTACTCGACGAAGCAAAATCCGCAGGGGGTCTTGTTGTACCGATCCAGACCCATAACTAGTCGCTTAATCTCGCCGCACCTGTACTCGGTCAGCTCGTTACTCGTAGATAGCGCATTTGGTGGTGGTTTCCGCTCACTTGGCAAATAGTTCGTGGATCTGCTCTTCGGTGGTGTAGAAAGAACTGTGCTGTTAGCATGGACTTGACAGAGGCGATCGTTCCATAACGTACAGATTACCGACGTAGAGAGTGGTGGCATCCTTTAGGTTGTCGACGGGATCTTCAGGCTTTTCGACCTCATCGTGGCTGAACTTGCGACGCTTGTTCTGAAGAGAGTTCACCAATTAGTATTGTAATGGTTCGGTAGCCTTGGGGACGAAGCTCACCTTGCCCAGGTAGTAGGCACTCGGCCGGTCGAGGCGTTCAACGGTGTTGTGAACGAGGGTGCTCATGATGCTCGGCGTTAGGCAAGCAAAAATTGAATAAAAGAAATAACGATGAACGCCGGGAAGCTATGTGAGCGGAGTTCACTAAACAACGAGAGAAAGTGATTCTGCAAAGAAGATCCGAACAGGTCGGGAAGCTGAAGCAACAACCAACGGGAGTCTTGCTTCTTGGCGCGCCGCCCTTCTTCAATCCAGCTTCAGCTTCCGCCCAAAATTTCCCCGACGGGAGCTGTTTATTGCCTTTCCTCTCCATCGTGCTTTCGGCTTCTTCCCTCCCCTCTCGCATTTGGCTTCAAGCGCAGGATGAGATTGTAAGGCTTGTCAATCTCAACTTGTTTGCCATAAAGAATCGCCCTCTACCATGCCGAAAGTCATTAGCTACACTCCGCCGTGGCTCTCGCGCCCGGCGCCGGGTGCCTCCATCTTTGCCAGCTCCGGCTCCAAATCACCAGAACATACACCCGGAACGAAAGAAGTCGTCTATTCGGGACCTACGCGCATTCAAGCGAAGCGGGGGAATGAACTATTTACCGTCGTTGATAACCAGATTCGCTGGTCCAGCCTGACCAGACTGAAGGATGAATGGCAGCACAACTCCAGGTCGAATGACAAGCAGCAGTCTGAGGATCGCACTGTGCAGTACAGGGTAGGACAAATTTACCAGTGCTTTATTGCTGATCTGAAGCTAAACTGATGCCGTATAGGTCCTAAATGTTCCTGTCTTCGAGAAAATCCGTCAATTGATTCCCTCGCCAAATGGCGCATTCCTAGCTATTGTTGCCGATCGCACCGTCTTCATCGCCGTCCTGCCTGATCCTTCCCATCTGTCTGGAACAGACAGCTCTCCCATCCGCGTGAAATCTTATCAGCTTGGTCCGACCACCCACGTCATTCCCGAATCGCCTGTGGTGTCAGCGCTATGGCATCCATTGGGCGTACACACCAACCTCGGGGGCTGTTTTGTGACTATCACGGCTGATGCTGCAGTCCGAGTGTGGGAATTGGATCGGAACAACCACTGGTCGTTTGACCGTCCGACCCTGGCTGTTGACCTGAGGAAGTTGGTGGACGGAACCTCATCGGACCAGGACTTTGCGCCGTCGGGATTCGGGAAGAACAAGGGATTCTCGGCTGACTTTATCGACATGGAAGTTGCGTCTGCTTGCTTTGGTGGCAGCGGAAATGAACGCGAGGATGCATGGGCACCTATGACTCTGTGGGTTGCAATGAGACCAGGCGATCTATACGCTCTGTGTCCGTTGTTGCCCTCCAAGTGGCGTGCGCCGTCAACTACCATCCCTTCGTTGACTGCGGCTATTGTTCCTAAGCTGGCTTCTTTGGAGGAGGATCCTGCCGAGTATGAGGATGACCTGACTGCCTGCCGGCAGCAGTACGACTGGCTGGCCGAAATTGATAACCAGGATCCTTTACATACGGAGTTTGATTCGGAGACGGGCTCTGGGTCTGACGTCCTCACGCGCCCAGCCAATCCCAGTGCGATCCCCAGATTACAGGGCCCGTTCCGGTTCGACACGGGCGATGAGATCGATGACCTGGACCTCTGCGATATCCTGGTCATCGGTGCCAAGGTCGATCTCGATGCGCTCATGATGGGTGAAGAGGTGCGCGCTCTGGAAGAGAGCGGAGATGACCGTCTGTCTGCCACGGTCATCTGCCTTTCGACTGGAAGCGGTAGAATTCATGTTTGCCTCGAGCTCGATGGCGTTGAAGGACAGTGGCTCCCTAAGGCGAAGAAGAACGTCTTCAGCACTCCTGTCTCTGAACCATCCGATCTCCTGCTCGTGGAATCCTTGGACACGATTAAAGGGGAGCGTGACTCGTCCAGCAACTGGCCTACTTTCACAAAGGATGCCTACTCGCGGTACAGCTTCTTCGTTACGAACACCAACAACGTCACCTATATTTCTCTCACTTCCTGGGTTCAGCGACTCGAGGCTGAGCTGCAGTCAGAGGACACCGCCGGCAGTTCTTTCCGCCTGCAAATCCTTTGCGAAGGCACTGCGTCTTTGAGAGAACGGATACTTGAGGTTGATGGAATTGCCGCAGGCGCCAAAGACTTGACGGGCCACCTACCAGCCGCATTGGTGTACTACGATTACGACCTGGGCTACTTGCTACTCACATCTCACTCCTCCACCCCTCACGCTGCCATCTTGGACGCACCAGAGGTTCTTCCCTCCATCGCCGATCTCCACATCTTCGACCCGGAGGAACAAGTCCCGGGCTCGCCCATCCTGCCCCCTCGTCGGCCTCCATACCAAGTCCCGGCCATCTTCTACGCAGAGCCCCCTCTGGAGTTCTTCATCGACAAACACGTCCCGCACCGTCAACGCCAGGCCTTGAAGGAGCAAGTTCGGCTATCCCCTGCCACACTGGACCTGGTTGCAGCTGCGCACCGCATCCTGTCCGCCCACACCAACGCCCTCGAGCGCGCCGCCTCTGACCTCTTCCGCCGCTGCGAGCGTTTGCAGGGCGAGATGCGTGATCAGCTGAAACAGCTCGCCGACGTGGCTGACCGAGTCAAGGGCGTGTCCAGCGAAATTGGCGAGGATGGCAAACGGATGGAGGGGTCCCGCAACGGAGAAGCACTGGACCAGCGACTGCAGGCAGCGAAGGACAAGCAGGCACAGCTTGTACAACGCTACGAAGCACTGCGTAACAAGGTCTTGAAATCTGGTGGCCGGCCACTCAGCGATAAGGAGAAGTCGTGGGTCACTGAAGTTGAGACATTGTCAGAGTCAGTAGATCAGCCGGAGGGCGATGGCGACCTGACACAACGAATCGCTGCTGTAAGTTCATTCCAGCGTGTCTAATAAGCATGATACTAACAATTTTATAGGTGAAGGAGATTGCCGGCGATCTCCTCAGCGAGGCCAAGACTCTTGCAGTCAAGTCGCCCATCGCCGCTGAACCCGGCAGTCCAGCGTCGCCAGGTGGTGCTCAACCCCGTGTTTCGGTTTCAGCACGACTACAAAAGCAAAAGGTTGCGGATGCTATGCATATGGTGGAACGAGAGTACGTCTGCTTCATTCTTCATGACTATAGGGTCATACACTAACGAGATACTCTAGATCGGCTATCATCGACAACATCACATCGCGTCTCGAACGGCTCAACACAGCGTTATAATGGATACCACAGTAGTTAGAAACATGCATGAACTGGCTTGTTTTGACTTGACTAGAAATACTACGAATGCAATCACGGTCAATCTCTTACCCACATCAAACAACCCCATCATATCGATGAGACCGTAGAAATAGAAGAACCCCTCTCATCCACCACCCTCGCCCTCGCCATCGCCATATCCATCTCCATAGCCTCCTCATCAGCCGTATCCCTCCTCTTAGGCCCCCGGACCCTCCCTCTCCCAAATCGCCTCTTCTCCCTCCCCATCACCCCAGCGCCATGACAAACGCGCGACGAAGCAATCGAATCACAAACTCTACTCAGGTCACACCGAAGCACCACCAGTTCTTCCTCTGAGGAGGAGGAGGAGGAGGACTCATCTATATATTCTTCCTCATCCCCTTCTTCTCCATCTCCATCTCCATCTCCATCTCCATACCAACCCTCATCACTACTCCCACCACTACCACCATCGCCATTATTATAACCATCATGTTCTCCCAACCGGAACTCCTGAACACCGTCATCCTGACCATGTTGTTCATCATCTACATCCAAACCAGCAAACTCAACGTCCGAGTCAAATCCCTCAAGACATGTCATTAGAGTGCATAGTCTGTTCATTCTCCGTTCGGAATATCTGCTGCTGCTGTCGCTGCAAGCTTCGCAGAGAAGATTATTCCGTCGACGCGTTCCCTCCACTATTATCATCTCGCGTCGCAGACACCGGTTCCAGGGGATGAGGCGGCAGGGCGTGAATGTTGTGGTGGTGAGGCATCCGCAGAGGGGGTGTTTGGTTGTTAGGGTTAGGCACATTCTTTTTGTTTGAGTGGGAGGGGGGTTGAGGGTGGGTTGGTTTTGGTTGTCGGAGGATGAGTTGCTAGGTTTGAGAGTAGTTAGTATGGTTATTGTCAAGGCAACTGTATGCTGGATTGTTTGTGTTGGAGTGTGGATGGTTGGATGAGGGAGAGGGATGGATATATATCTGGGGTGCGGGTAGGTGGATGTGTATGTTGTTTGTTGGGTGAGATAGGGAGAACAGTGATGCATGACATTAATTTAGAATATAATGACAGAAAACACAATCAAGTTGCAAGAGGTATATATATGTTCTTAAAGGTATTGTTGATGGATGGTACTTACCTCTTTTCAAGAAAGGATAATCCTAGTAGGGTTTGATGCTCACGTGAGAAATGAAGAGTAGTAGTGAATCGAATCACATGGATGAATCTGAATGATCTGAGAAGGAGATGATCAGTGCTTTAAGTATTGTACACAGAGAAAGTTAACGAGCGAAGAAAGTATGACCTCTCTCATTGTGAGATATGGTATGAACGGCAGGTGGTGTCGTTTAGCAGCGTCGGTATGGGAACTGTCAGATTATAACGGGCAAGTGTCTGGGTGTTTCCGACTAAATCCATACAGCACTACAGTGAATGTATTGTCAAAGCGATTTATGTTTTTTTTTATCTAAAGCAATGTATGGGTAAGCCCACACTTGAATAAAGAAATAGCCGAAATATCCAACAAAAGCAATTTCCCAAAACTGTTTATGCATGTTCTCGTTCCCACATCAGTCATGACACTCGTAGCCCAGAATATGAACAACCAAGAACTCCATAGCCTCATTAACACCATACTTCATGCAGCTGGTCGTTCAAGAAGGAAGAGCTAATAGCTATGCGGACCTGTTGCGAAGGCTTTCCAAGTTCGTGCAATTGCCTCACCACCTTCGACTTTTTGGGTAATGGCCGGTGGCCAGCTCATCCACAGCGACCTCGTACAAAGGAGAAAGGGGGACGCTCTTCGACAGACGAATCAATTTTCGGGTCTCCGTATGAAAATCTCCTGCTTCCAGGCATTGAACGCAGGGAGGACATCCGACGGTAAATGGGAGTTGAAATATTTGGTCGCTAGCTTGTGGTAGATAAATAATCTGGCGTAGTAGACCCCAACACGAAAATTCCACACCATTTCATCATGAAAATCTTTGTAGGCTGTGTATCTGCGCCGGTGCGAGCCCAACGTGATCGAACCTTCAGGGATTTTCTGGTCCGCCACCGCAATAGGCTGGTCTTTGACAGGCTTGTTGTCCTTGTCCCACCCAAGGAGGAGCTGGACAGATTGAATATGCCGTTGAAGAAACGGGGAGTCGTCGTCAGGGTGCAGGTTTTCATACCTCCTTCGGTACCAGGAGTTACAGATCCGCATGATCATAATGGCTTTGTAGGCCTCGAAGCGTATTCGTGAGACGACGTGAATTAACCTCGAGGGAAGGATCCTAGAAAGGTGTTGGGGAAGGTAGATGCATTCAGCTCTTATGCCAGACTGAGTCAGGACGTCATTGATGCGTTGTTCTGAGACCGACAGCATACCCTGCTCAGCCAGGTAGGCATCGACGGAATCAGGCCGAGGCGAGAACGGGAATTTGGTAGACTCAGGCGCTGGCAAGGACATTTTTGTTAAGAAATCTCTTTCTGAGATGGAATGTGAGGAGGTTGAGCGATGAAAGATGGGAGAGCATCAAATGGAGACACTGCAAAAGGACCGGACTGCACTTGTGCAGAGCGACGGAGAGAGCTGAAGCTCTCGCGGAAGCTCCCCATCACCGCCTCCATCTGCCTAGTCGGGCAGGCTAGTCGGACAAGGATGGAAAACCATAGATGTGACCGGATTGGACTTCCAGCTTTCCATTCCTTCATCTTTCCTTGATCCATGTTTGCTAGCATCAAGTTGATAGTCAGGGTAGTAAAGGTAGAAGAAGAAGCATCGTAACTGCAAATGATGATATCCCAAGCCAGTGTAACCGATGAGAAGCTTTGACAGATCTGATAGTCTGACAAACAGGAGTAATAGTTATCAGTGTCACCTCAGCAGACAAGTAGGACAGGATCCGAGGGTACACCAGCCCTGCACTCCGGTCTTGTGCTGACGACGTAGAGTAGGTTGTCGACTTGATCTGATTGATTATTAGGGTTTTGTTTGCTGACGGATAAAGCTAGTTTAGAAAGCTAGAAATTCAGATGTAGAGTATGATGTAGTTGTAGAGTTGTAGATAGATCACGGCTGGTACGCTATACAGTAGGACGAAGGTCAGCACAAAATCATTATGATACCACATCCAATAGCAGGGAGGAAGCGCTGCAGATTGAACAAACCGAATGAGAGACCAAATTTTGGGCTAGTAATATAAGGCGCCTCTCATATGCAAGTCACATCTCCTATCCAAGTCAGTAGCAACAGTCTGCAAGATACAGCCACCGTCCTGTAGCGCTTGATTTACGGCTCAAAGATACCTTGTGTACATTCATCAAGACTACATATCTACGTTGAATGACAAATTGTGAAGAAGAACTCATGTAAAAAGATATAGAGATCTCTTCCAAGTAAATACACGTATATATGTCATCATAGAAATTTACTGAACCCTGCACAATTCGATACGTTAGCAAGTGCTGATCAACAACGCAAATCTCTGAATCGCACTCAGATCACGTACCGTTCAATCAAATGGACACCAGAGGCCGTCTCCACAATCCCACTGACCTGACCAGGCTGGAGTGCAAAGGCGGCGTCCTCAAACTCTTTCTGCATCTCATTCCGTCCAAAGAAGCCCCTAACATAGATTAGTCCAGTATCTGCAGCGGTAGCATAAATACGTACAGATCTCCACGTTTCCTAGCACTGCTGCAGTCGGACTCCGATACAGCAATGTCACCCAGACTGGCTTCTCCCGCATTGATGCGCGCCTCGTGGCTTCTGAGGATCTCGATAGCCTCCTCTTTCGAACGGGTGATTTCAGCTTCCCTCCAGCTGCTGGGACGCCTACTATCCCTGTGCTTAACGAGAAGATGGCTGCAGCGGATCTTGCCCTCATTGTGACCGTTTCCATCAGAGCGTCCTGCGGGTCCGCTGTGGTAGTTGGCCATATAGAACTTGAGCTTCTCCGTATCTGTGTCGGCCGGCGGCTCCCAGCGAGACTCTTTCGTCATAGGGTTAAAGTAGTAGGGAAGGTTCTTAGAGTTGGAGTGGCGAACCTCCCAACCTGCCGGAAGACCTGTCTCTACCTGTAGTGTTTACAGTCAGCAGAGATCCCAATTTGGGTAAACATGATCTTCTATGACAGGATTGAGTATGGGAATACCATGTTGTGAAGAAGGATGTGTGTAAGTCTAAAATCTGCGGAGGAGTCTATAGCTTCACGAAGGAAGACAAGGATCCAGAAATGACGCGGGGGGACTAGTGGAGTTATATAAAGTTGCAGGAGTCGGAGAGGCTTTGCTGGTACTTGCAGCTGCGGGACAAACTGCGGGGGAGGGATGGTTGCAAACACTGCAAACATTGACGGGGCGGTGAGCTGCAAGTCATGGAACTAGCCGGTGGTGCTTGGTTCAACGCTTCTTCCGACTTCCATTGACGATCCCCCCGGCCATTTCTCTATTCCCATCAGCCACTCTTCGCGTCTTTCGTTTCTATCTGTTTCAAGTGAAAGCTTTCCAGCGGATACAACACACTCGCTCCATATCAATACGCGTGAAATCATTACTTTCCGGCACACTTCATCAGTAATACAACCTCCGAAAATGTCTGCCAGCCCATCCCCCTCTGCCGGTGGCGATAGCAAGCCCACCGATCAAATTCACTTTCGATTCTGCCGCGAATGGTAAGTTTTGATCTCTTCATTCTTTCTGAACCTTCTGCTAACGTTTACAGTTCCAACTTGCTCTACCCGAAGGAAGACCGCATCAACAACCGGTTGATGTTCACCTGCCGAACCTGCCATGTCGGCGAGCCCGCAACCTCCTACTGCGTTTACCAAAACAAGCTCAGCACTCAAGTCGGAGATACCGCTGGTGTGACCCAGGATGTGGGATCTGATCCTACGGTTTGTCTCCCAGGTTTCTGTGATCATTGTGGGGAAGAGATTACCTGCTTCGTCTGTGACACATCCTCTGAGGACTCCTGGTCCGAAGAGGATTATGATGGCTTTTCGTCGTCATGAGGTCCAGCATGCGCCGCGCTCGTGTCATGGATAAATTCCAAGTTGTCTTGAAATTTCCGTGGCTAACCCACTCTTTCCTTAGCTTCCTCGTTCCAACAAGCTCTGCCCGAGCTGCGGCGAAGCCGATGCAGTCTTCTTCCAGTCGCAACAGCGTTCCGCAGAAACGGGAATGGTAAGCCTTCATGCCGGTTCACCCCGCATCCATGAAGGTATCGGCTGACGCTTACTTTCCAGAAACTTTACTACGTCTGTTGCGCGTGCGGCAATGTTTTCGTCTAATGCTCGATTTGCCATACTACATGTCATGTACCTGATACCCGATCTTGGTTTTTGTTCCGTTAAGCAGCATTTTTTGTGGAGTTCTGGCGATGTTTGGGCAAAGAAAAGGGGAGTTTGAAAAGAGAAAGAAATTTCTATTGCTACAAACGGGATAAATATAAGAACAATTCGCTTCCAAATAAAAGGTATATCCTACACATGCATCGGCGCCAACGACAGGATCTTCGACCACTGTCGTCCTCGTAGTTCCGTAGCCACGACACCTAGTATATGTCAGTAAAGCCATTTCTCTAATACCGACTCAATCATGTTCCGCTGTAATTGGCTAGACTGACCGTTCATTCTCGTTCCGATGGGGTCTCCGGACTTGTTGACGAGAACACAGGCATTGTCATCGAACTTGACGATCGAACCATCGGGGCGCTGCATTTCCTTGGCCGCGCGGACGACAACAGCATGGCGAATGTCTCCTCGGCGAACCTTGTTGGCGATACCGACGTTGTTGCTGCTGTCGGGGCCGAAATTTCGTTGCTTCTGGACCACGACCACGATGCGGTCACCTATTCATCCCGGAACCCCAACATCAGTGTTATCCCTTTGATAGTGAATGGAAACGGCAAAATTATCGTACCAACGGTGGCGGGGCGCTTCTTTTTCAGGACATTCACGCACTCGACAACGGCGGCGCCGGAGTTGTCGATGCAGTTGAGCATTGTCTGGATCGGGGATTTGTCAGTCCGCGAAAAATCTCCTCTCCCCCATCACGAACATCAGTAGAATCGCTCACACACCTTTAATTGAATCATCTTGACTGTGTACCCTGTCCGGAGGTGGAAAGAACGACGGGGGGGAGTGAGGGGAGTATAGAGAGAGATGGGGATGGCCGAAAGAAAAGCAGCGCCAGGCAGTTTGGCGGGCCGGCAGGTTTCGCCGACGACCGACCCCGGACGGGGGCACTGCAGCAGCACCAGCGCCAGCCTTCACATTAATTATTACTATCATGGCAATCTGCGAGTTTGTCCTTTCATGCGCGCTAACCTTCACTGCCTCTCCTTCTTTTCCTTTGTTCATCATGCCAGTCACTCCTCTTCGTATTCACGTCGTTCCCTAAAATTTTCCTTCTCAATCCCGCTCCTTTCCCACCCCCCAAAAACTGTTTGGCGCCCATATATATTTCTAGTAGTCTCGTCTTCTCTGCTTCCCGACCTTCCGCTGTTTCTTCCCCTTGACGCTTTGACGCCTCATTCCTACCATTAATCCACCCACACTCTTATCACCCCCTCAAATCTTCTTGCATGGGATCGTCTGGGTCGACATTTCACGATGCCGGTCTCCAAGGCAAAATCCAGCCCCTCCGATGACCGTCGGGATCGGCTTACGCTCGCGAAACTGGCCAGCTACGACGACGTCGCAACAGATGCGCTGGTTGACCGTGTACGTTTATGACCCTCGATTGGCCGTCATGTAGCTGGTCGCTGACTATACTATCCTCGCAGGCGTACTTTTGGACCAACACTCGCAAGAATCGCACTAAATACAACCCCGCCCGCGGCATCAGAGATGATGATGTGGCTAGCACTCTCCTTCACGATGTCATTGTCAACAAAGACGCTGCCAAAGCGGAAGAGAAGCTGTTGAGCATGCCAGGTCTCAAGAAGTACCTGGCGAAGCTGCCTACTGACCGGGAGAAAGAATGGTTTCGTCGCCATCTCCGCAAATACATCCAGATGTATCTCCCCGATTCCCCCTTTGAGGTGACTACGACCAATCGCTACACGGTGACCGAGCATGAGGCTGCCATCTGCGCCCGCAAATTCATTAAGCAGGGCCAGGAGATCAAGTACCTCAGCGGGACCCTCGTACCCATGACCAAGGAAGAGGAGCAGGATCTGGATCTGAAGAGAAAGGATTTTAGCATTGTCATGTCGAGTCGCAGAAAAACCCCCTCTTTCTTCCTGGGTCCCGCTCGGTTCGCCAATCACGATTGCAACGCCAACGGTCGACTGGTGACGCGCGGCATGGAAGGGATGCAAGTCGTTGCCATCCGCAACATTCATATCGGAGAGGAAATCACCGTGTCCTACGGAGAGGATTACTTTGGCATTGACAATTGCGAGTGTCTTTGTTTGACGTGCGAACGGGCCGTCCGCAATGGCTGGGCGCCTCAGCTCGATTCCGACCAAGAGAGTCCCGCTTCCACGCCAGCTTACGACGAGCCTGCGCCCTCTGAGGCTCTCCTTTCGCCCAAGAAACGCAAGCACGTCTCCGACACCGATTCAGAGAGCTCTCCCTCGTCGACTCCCCGCAAACGAACCAAGTTTACTCGCCAGAGCTCCAAGTTGAGATCCGAGGTCGTGTTTTCTGATCTCACACCCTCGATCGAGTCTTCCACGGTCCAGCCAGCGGGCACCGGGCTTTCCTCCCAAGCTTTATCCGTGCCACACGCTGCCGCAGCCGAAACCGCCAATGACCACGTTATCGACAACAAGAGTGACATCCATGCCGAATCGACCGCGCAAAGCACCACCACTACCACCGCCGATCCTGATTCACCCGGTTCACTGGACGATTCGCACCGCTCGTCAACTTCAACAGCCGCGACGTCCGTTTGTGACAACCCGGTGCGAATCAAGGTCGAGGAAACTACCGAGACTACCGTGCAGGCACCAATTTTGACTGTCGAGGGACGTCTGGATCTCTCCACCGGTCCGGCCGAGCCAGAACGACGTATGCTGGGTGTAGACAACGATGCATTGTCGGACTTGTCAGACTCACTCGAACTCGACGAGAAGCTTGGTACCGTGGTGAAAAAGTCCCGAAAATCCCGCAGCAAGGAAGTGGTTCCCTCAGTCGAGGTTGAGCCGCCCCGTGCTCGGGTTCCTGGCGATTACACCAAAACCTCGAAACTTCTAGCACAGGCATACGACCGCTGGGTGGATTGCCGCACATGCAACGCTTGGTTTGTTCAGCAAGATTCCTACCTGACGCGACGTGAGTGTCCCCGGTGCGAACGGCACTCCAAGCTGTATGGATTTCAGTGGCCGAAAACCGACAGAGAGGGCCCTGGAGACGACGAGGAACGGGTGATGGACCACCGCACTGTGCACCGATTCTTGTACCCCGAGGAAGAAGCGCTCATTTCGCGCAAGGACCGCGGTGTCAGTTTTGGAATAACCCCGACGCCCGAACTGTCCGAGCCTCACGCAGAGACCGAGGACAGTGAAGCCGGCGAGGACCGACGCAACACGCGCGCCAGCCGACGACGTACCCGGTCCCTTCGGATGACTATGTAATGATGGATACGGATCGATTTTGGGAGTACTAATCCTGGAGTTTGGTTTTTATTTGGAGTCCGGTTTGGAAGAATAGGCGTTCTTTTCACGATGGGCACGAGCGTTGCCATGAGCCCGGCGATATTGAAAGGCTTTTTGAGACGTTTGAAAGATCTTGCTTCCCATTCATCTGGTCTGGCTTTGGCTTTGTCCAGTCTAATGATTCCGCATTTGGTTACCCTGTATAGATTACTGCTCGTTTCCCGGCCCTTGGTACACTTCTGTACTTACCCGACTTTATCCCCAACCCGGGGTCTTGGAATTAACTCATTTTTACCCGTCGGCTGACGGACGTTGCTTGAAGAATCTTGTCCTCCTTATCCTTCCCCCCGCAAATTGCTGGTGCCGCATCTCCGCATCTCCGCATCTCCGTCATGCTGCATCGTGGAGGAGAATAATTGCACCAATGGCAGCCCTGTCGGCGCTTTGGTCCCCTTGAATTTCTTGTCCTCATGATATTCTCGTGCAGGTATTCCAGGAACTCCGATATTGAATCTTAATGAACTTCGGTCTGCTTCATACCGACCTCACTCTACCATCGCAACCATGATACCCTATAAAATGCTGCTGCTCTCGGCGCAGCTCTCCCCAGCCAGGTCCACCAGGGATACAACCACCACCTGCAGCCATGGCCTTCCCACGCCTCCTGCTGGCCCTGTGCTTCCTGCTAACACACTCCCTCACCAGCGCCTACGATGCCCCCCTCGTCACTCTAGACTATGGCACCTTCCAGGGCAGCTATGATGCCACTTACAACCTCTCCTACTTTCGCAAAATCCCCTTTGCAGCACCAGCAACAGGCGAGAACCGCTTTCGAGCTCCTCAGCCCCCGTTGAACATCACCACCAATGGCACCTACGACACCGACCAATCCTTCGACATGTGCCCTCAACGCACCGTCAACGGCTCCGAAGACTGCCTCTACCTAGGCCTCTACTCCCGGCCCTGGGACACCACCTCCACCACCACCAACCGCCCCGTCCTCGTCGTCTTCTACGGCGGCGGCTTCATCGAAGGCGACGCCCTCTTCGGCATGCCCCCCAACGCCTACCCCGTCCTCAACGTCAGCACCCTAAACGACTACATCGTCGTCTACACCAACTACCGCGTCAACGCCTTCGGCTTCCTCCCCGGCCAAGCCATCAAAGACTCGCCCACCTCCGACCTCAACCCAGGCCTTCTCGACCAACAATACGCCCTGAAATGGGTCAACTCCCACATCCACCACGTCGGCGGCAACCCCAACAACGTCTCCATCTGGGGCCAATCCGCCGGCGGAGGCTCCGTCGTCGCCCAGATCCTCGCCAACGGCCGCGGCTCGAACCCCAAACTCTTCACCAAAGCCCTCGCCAGTTCTCCCTTCTGGCCAAAAACCTACGCCTACAACGCCCCAGAAGCAGAAGCCATCTACACCCAGCTTGTCAACCTAACAAACTGCACCACCGCCTCCGACACCCTCAAATGCCTGAAAGAGGTAGACGTCCAATCCATCCGCGACGCAAGCCTCATCATCGACGCAGATAACACCTACACCACCTCATCCTACACCTGGGCCCCCGTCATCGACGGAACCTTCCTCATCGAACCCCTCACCTCCGCCATTTCCTCCTCCAACACCCTACAGACAGATCTCATCTGGGGCATGTACAACGCCCACGAAGGCGAGAACTTCATTCCCCCCGGACTAGAAGACACAGACACCACGAACGGATTCAACTCCTCCCTCGCGTCCTTCCATAACTGGTTAACCGGTTTCCTTCCCAGTCTTGATACAAACGATATCGACCTCATCTCATCGAAATATTACCCTGTTTCAGGTACAGCAGAGACATTATCCTATAATACGACGTTCGTACGCGCTGGGCTGGTGTACAGAGACGTGGTCCTCGCCTGCCCGGCGTATTGGGTTGCTTCTGCGGCGAAGGAGAAGGGGTATGTCGGGGAGTATGTGATTCCGCCAGCGAGACATGGGAGTGATACGGAGTGGGTATGTTGTTATCATCCCTTTTACTTTTACTTCTATTTATGTAGTATATGCTGTCTATGGAGATGATACTGATACCGCAAATGCAGTGGGACACCGTTTCGAGCGTACAACAAACCGACCCATTAATCTACGACGGCTACGCGGGCGCATTCGCCAGCTTTTTCCAGACGGGGGACCCCAACGCACATAAATTGACGAATGCGTCGGAGCCCGGCGTGCCGGAGGTACAGGAGTCAGGGGACGAGTTTGTGATTGCTACGGAGGGGTTCGAGAATGTGGGGTTGACGGAGTTGAAGGATCGGTGTGCGTTTTGGAAGTCGGTTGGGGGGAAGATTCCTATTTGATTTTTATTATTCATTTTTATTTACTACTGGTAGTAAGTAGTATCTTGTAGTTGTCTATTCAGATGATGGATGGGTGTTGTTTATAGTGTACAGATGTGGTGACGAAGAGGAATCTAAGTAGAGAGATGTGGTGGGGAAATATACAAATTATAATACATGAGGTACAGCCGTGTATATCCTGAGTGATGCTTCAAGTCAATGCATACATACAATGCATGTCGTCTAAATATTATCTTTCCTGGTTGCCATTTTCCGAACGCCGTCGTCAGAGGCTCCGTCAGTTGTAAGTTGACTGGGCCGTAGTTGAATAATAGTACAGATTGTGCTTGTCGTTGGTGTCGTTGCTGCCCCTAAATCAAGGCCTGTCCGCGGAACATCCCCTCACGCACTTCCTTGACCACGTCCTTGCGGTCCTTCTTGCCGACCAGGACCACGGCACGACCACGCTTGCCCATGCGGCCGAGACGGCCGAGACGGTGGATGAAATCGATGGTGTTGTGCGGGACGTGGTAGAGGATAACCGTCTTCACGGCGATGGTGTCAATTCCGCGAGAGGCAATATCTGTCGTCACGAGAACCTTAGTGTTCGGCAGACCGCGCTCCATGCCTGGCTTGTTCTGCTGTTCAGGGTAGACAAAGGGAATGGAGTTGTCCTGGCGGCGCTTGTTCTTGGCTAGCATGATCTCCTCTGCGGTGGGAGGAATTGGGGACTCGGTGAACTCTTCCAGCAGTTCCTCCTGCTTACGGCTGCTGGAGTCGCGGGAGAAGGACTGGGCGTCGATACCCTTTGAGCGCAGGAACTCGGCTACCTCGTCGGCTTCTTCGCGCTCGTTGACAAAAACCAGAATCTTCTTGACCTTGGGTCCGGCCTGGGCCAGGAAGGGGTGCGTCGGTTCGGTGTCGCCTGCCTTTCCAATGGACCAGATCACGTCGGCGCAGGCCAGGTTGCGGTTGCCACGGTAGGGGTCCCGTTGGATGTCCACCACTCCCAGCTGGACACGACGGGGGATGGCATGCAGGTTTGGTGTCGTCAGTCGGCGAATGTCGGGGTAGCGCTTACGGAGAAGATTGTCGAGACTGCGGGGAATGGTTGCGGAGCAGAGGATGAGCTTGTGAAGAGAAGAGGCTGACTTTTCGATAATCTCGGTCGTTGTGGGCAAGAAGGAACGGTCCATGAGCGAATCTGCCTCATCCAGCACCAGGTGGCTAACACGACTCAGCACATATGGATCCGTCTTGGCAATCGAAGCAAGCAGATGGGGAGTGGCGACGAGAACGTCAATTCCGCTCGGATTGAAGAGGATGCTCTTAATACGACGAGGGGTCAGGTTGGACGAGATCATCCCCGATCGGTATTTGACCGTGTGCGAAAGAGCCTTGACTTTGGCGCCAACCTGGGCAACCAGCTCGGAGGTCGGGACGAGGATAATGACCCGGGGTCTACCTGCGTCCGACAGCGGAGGCTCTTCCGGGGCAATGTCAAAAGCCCGGTTCTTGAGCTTCTCCTCCCGTTCCTTGGCCTTTTGTTCCGCCTCTCGCTTTTCAAATTCCTTGTCCTCCGCTTCCATACGCTTCAGGGAGTCGATCATGGGAATCAGATAGGCGAGCGTCTTTCCAGACCCGGTCTCGGCAGCCAGAAGATATTGTTCATAATTCGGTTCATCGTTAAAAACATCTTTCGATGTTCTCTTCGGGATAGGGTCTTTCAGAAGTTGTGGGATAGCAAGGCGTTGAATGGGAGTTGGTACGATGTCCGCCAATCCGGGGAGAGCCTGGGAAGAGATCGAGTGGCGCACGACCGGTAGCAGAGGAAATTGGTCGAAACTCGAGACTTCTGCGATCTTATTCTTGATAGCGGTTCGGCGACCGTAAGGGATGGGCGCCAATGCCGTTTGCATCTTGAGCGCCTTATAGAGAGGACTGTCCGGCTTCTGCTTATCATCTTCAGCATCCCCGGAGCGCTTGAGAGCTGCCCGAGACCTTGACAGTGGCGCATCCCGAAGGCGCGCTTCTGTTTGGTTCATGCCCGACCAGGGGCCGCCACGATCTCTTCTCGAACGTCCCTCCTTCAGGGAAGACTTGTCGACATTGGAGGACAGAACCATGCGGGCGGCCTGGCGGCGCTGTCGGACGGTTGCCATGGAGCGGACGGCCTGCCATCCGGAGAGAGGAGAGGACATGGTCGCCTGCGTTTGACAGAGCAGACAGACTTGAGGCCGAAGCGGCAGAGACAGTCTGCCCAGGCGATTCATGGTGAGGATGGGTGAGGGTGGATGAGAGAGAGTGATGAACGCTCGTCAAGAATCTTCTACCACTAGTTTTATCTTTTGCCTCCCGGAGCTCCAATCCAAAAAGAATCAGCAGCCGGTCCCGTGCCAGTCCGTAATGGGAAGGCGCTCGGGCCACAGGAACGATCCCCCGCTAATCCCAAACCAGACTGGTGGGATCGGGGAAACCGCCAGGCGACGAGGTGTCGAGGTGTCGAGGCTGGCCAGACAGGCGCTCAGGCCAAGTTCAGGCCAGGTTCAGGCAGTCTCAGGTGTGAAGTTGCCATGGAGACTCCCGACGCCAAAATGTCAACAGCGTCAAGCTGCGATTCCCAGCTTCAGCCGGTTTGCGAACGGCTTCGAACTACTTATTAGTCAACTTGTCAACACTGTCTGTTCGGGTGTTTCTGTTTATTCCTTCTCCCGTCACCTTCACTCTCACCCCCTTCCGTCTTCTTGTTCTTACTTCATCCTCGTTGGTCCGGTGGTGGATGGTGTGTTGGTTGTCTTCTTTGCAATTGTCTATCCTGTCCAGCGTGCCGTCATTGTTGCACATCGCCCATTTTCACCATATCGGTTGCCCTGTTCTGCCTACGATCAGCATCCCTTCGTTTGTCGGACCAATTTTTTTTCGCAGTAGTTTCTTATCAAAAGTAAAGAAAGAACCTGACGAATCGGCTCTCTTTCGCATGATCGCCATTTTGTGACGCATCTCATTTTCCCCATCTTGTTACGATTCCCATGAGCTGCTGCTTAACGTCCGAGTGAATTTTAATCCAAGCGACTCAATTATTGTCCGCGTTCTGTTCTTCATTTGCGCTGGTTCGTTTCGGACTATTTCTAACGACCTCGTTGCGATTGACTCATCCACCTTTTTCGCCTCCATTCGTCTCAACCAGGTATGGGCGCGTTCCAGTCCGGCAAGGGATAGCTATGATTGCAGAGACCTTGCATTGCTGCGTTGTGACGAAAGAAGCCATTGCTGATTCAGCTGCCTGCAGCTGTGTTTTCTTCCAGGCGCGCTTGTCGACTGGCTATTTTTGCCTCTTTTGAATCACCAGTTGTTGTCGTGCATTTCCCACCAAGATGGGCAGCAGTACCACGCAAAGGCCGCTGTCCGAAGTAAGCCCGATGGCTCAACGACGAAACTCCCCAAGTTGGAATCAGAGTACCAAAGTAGGTCGCTCCACGTGCTGTTGTTAATCCTCCGACATCTGGACCTGACCATGTCGCTCCAGATGAAGTCCCAAGAAGCATCAGCGTATGAAGCACCCGCATCACCGCGTCTTTTCTGGCAGGGCCGTGAGTCGGGCTCTCCCTTCCCCAAGAGTTCGGAGAACCAGAGCCCTTATGACCCCGACGCCTCGTTTTCTCCGTCCAAGCGTCCCTCCCTTGAGAATCTCAAGCGCGCCTCGAGGGTCAAGAACAGCAACATGTTCCGCGACTACAACCAGGAGTACGATCCGACCAATGTCTATGTTCCACAGAGGCCCTTGGCCACTAGTCGCTCGCCACAGAAGCAGGCCTCAAATGCGCCCCCTGCGCGACAGGCAGAGTCCCACGACAGTAACAACCCGAGCGGGCCCCGCCCCCCTTCTCCGAGCAAGGACCAAGTCCCCCCAGCGAAGTCTTCCCTGTCGCGAGCCAGTCGCTTCGGGTTCAGAGACGCTTTTGACCCCGAAAGTGAGATTTGGTCTGACATTGATGGAAGTCGACATGCCAAAAGCGTGACGTTCGATGCCGCTCAGCCCCAGGTGCACGAGTACGAAATGACCACGCCTGATCCGTCCTCCATCGCTTCTGGCTCCCGTGAAGGCAGCTATGATTCAGAAGAGGATGAAGGGGATATCAGTTTCGATCGCGAATCCTCCCTCGACCGTGATGACAGTTTCGATGCCTCCTTGGAAGACCTCGAGAAGACCCCGGTTGTCCTGCCGGAAGACTGGCGATACATGAGTCCCGCCAGCGCAAACGACGATCTGGTGAAAGACGAAGAAGATCCCTTTACGGAAGACGACGAAAACCACAGCCCCGACCCGCGGCCATCCACCCAGCAAGGCCCGCCTGTCCAACATGCTCGCGTCGAGTCGCTGGACTCCAATGGCGAACGCCGTCCCTTGCCCCCGCTTCCTCCAACCAATCGCCCGTCCTTTAGCCAGCGCGGCTCGTCTCCACAAAAGCTGTCTGCAGCCTTTGAGCTGGCAAGTGGAGGTCAGCGAGTGTTGCCGTCTCCTCCGGGCCCCGCCACGTACAGCAAGTCGGATATCACTGAACGTGCTCGTGCATCGATGTCTCTGGAAGATAGGCTACGTCTCATGATGATCCAGGAAAACGAACGGAAGAGCAAAGACTCAGACCAAGCGGATCACCAGGCGCCCAAGCCAGACACAGAGGCTGAACACGACCTGATTAGCGACTTCGAGGACGATGACAAGATTTCAAACTCAGGGGAGGCTGCCAAAGATCACGATGAAGAGGCTACGGAGGTATTCTCTCCTCCGCGCATCTCCCGGGATTCCATTCTGCGAGACATTCGTAAGAGTGAGAGCTATGTCGACGACTCCTTCGAGGAGGATTCGCAGATCGAATCAAGCCCCCACCACTATATGCATTATGACCCTGACGTCCCCATCCCATCCCTGGAGGACGATGATGACGAATACCACGATGACGACGATGATGACCAGAGCAGCGTGGTGATAAAGCCCGAAGAGCACGATGACGATCTTTATGACATTCCGGAGTATTATGAAACTGTTCAGTCTCAAGCTTCTTCCTCAAAAAGCCTGAAAGACCATTTGCCTTCCAACGAGGAGGGCGATCAGCCCAGCTTGCCTCAAGAGGACGAAGTCAGGGCGCCGCAGAGCGAGTCACAAGATTCCGAAGACAGACAATCCACACCTGTTCCTGAAGTACGAGAGGAGCCTGCTGCCGAGCAATCGCAAGGAGAACCAGAGCCAGAACCCCAACCAAAAGAACTGTCGGCTCCAAAGATGGCAGCCATGAGGGAAGCGCTGCAGCGGCCCTCGACACCGGATAATCAGGATCAAATCTCAGAACCTTCGACCCCTGAGTCCGTTATACGACACCCTATTGATAAAGAGTTCAGCGACGAGGAGGTATCCGCTGATGAAAGTGTGCCAGACCCAGTTGCCACCATCAAGGCCCCTGGAACTGGTCTAAAGACCCGTCCATCCCTCACCCCTGCGGACGTTGAGCAGATGGCTGCGACGCGCCGCAAGGTTAGCGGACAACCACCTCCGCCCATGCCCCAGCTTACCAAGCAGAACTCGAACGACTCGCAGGCCTCTGCACCGGAGGAGGAACACGAGGAGGATACACAAACAGAGACCGCCAAGGAACCGAGTCGGAGACAACCCAGTCTCATGAAACTGGATATCCCATTCAGCATCCAGGAAGAGGAGAGCCTCGGATTCGGCTTGGATAAGGAGTTCGATCGAGTGATCGAGTCGCAAAAGGTGGAGTTTGAACAATCCCTGTCCCTACTCAGAAGCACCGCGTTTATCCCTCGTCTCCATGACGGCCCACACCAAGGATCAGAAGCCCATAGCTTGAAACTGAGACTATCAACTGACCACCATGTCTTAAAACAGAGAGGTTACCTTATGCGACATAACACGAAGGTTATCATCGCCAGTAGCCGCAATGAGGATGAAGCGGCAGCTGGAGGTGACGCTCCTGCAGCGGCCCGGGCCGCACCAACGGCGCGCAAGCCTAGTCAGCAAACGTGGACTACAGTGCCGTGGAACGGACAGACTCGCCGAGCGAGTATGAGGACTTCCAGCGGCATGGTGCGGAAGAAGCCCGTCAGCGGACCCGTCCCACCACTTCCAGGCCAGCAAAGCAGCGTTCAGGAGCCCCCGGCGACCATCGAGGAGACCGAACCTGCGTTGAATGGTGCTCTGGAGGAGGGCGAAGAACGTGGTCGCCTCTTCGTCAAGGTAGTCGGAATGAAATATCTCGATCTGCCGCTGCCACGAGGTAAGTGCATGACTTTTGCTCAACTATATTGCGAACAGTCAGCTGACAGTCACCTCAGGCGAGAGATCGTACTTTGCTTTAACCCTTGACAATGGCCTTCATTGTGTTACCACTGCCTGGCTGGAACTGGGCAAGACCGCTCCCATCGGTCAGGAGTTTGAGCTCATCGTGCAGAATGATCTCGAATTCCAACTGACCCTCCAGATGAAGGTGGACGAGGAGAAGATGCGTGTTCCAGAGCCTGCTCCCCCAGTTTCACCCACAAAGCAGAAAGCCTCCACCTTCAGTCGGGTCTTTGCTTCACCCCGCAAGCGCAAGGAGCTTGATATGAAGCAACAGCTGGCGTCGCAACAAAGCAAGACTCGCGACGTCAACGCTCCCGTATGGGACAGGCTGAGAACGCTCATTGCTCGCGATGGAAGCTTCGCACGCGCCTACGTGTCCCTCAGTGACCACGAAAAGCACGCCTTTGGCCGGCCTTACACAGTGGACGTGGCATGCTTCAACGAGTGGGCTGTTGAAGAGCAGCCCAGCAGTGTAAAGAGCAAGAAAAGTACCAATAGTACTACTTCCCAGAGACGTCCCCCCTACAAGATTGGCAAGCTTGAGCTGCAGCTTTTATTTGTCCCGAAGCCCAAGGGCGCCAAGGACGACGACATGCCCAAGAGCATGAACGCATGCATCCGGGAGATGCGTGAAGCCGAAAGTGTATCCTCCCGCAGTTGGGAAGGGTTCCTTTCTCAGCAGGGTGGTGATTGTCCAGTAAGTACATGCAAGCCTGAATTTTTGTCGATCAACGCTAATTCAATTTCATAGTTCTGGCGTCGTCGCTTCTTCAAGCTCCAAGGGTCCAAGCTGACCGCCTACCACGAAACCACCCGCCAACCTCGCGCAACCATCAACCTTTCTAAGGCAGTCAAACTCATTGATGACCGGTCTTCTTTGACTCAGAAGGAGACTACAACGCGAGGCGGTGGCCGTCGCAAGTCAGCCTTTGCCGAAGAAGAGGAGGGCTACATGTTTGTTGAAGAGGGATTCCGCATCCGCTTTGGCAACGGCGAAGTGATTGATTTCTACGCCGACAGCGCGGCCGACAAAGATGGATGGATGAAGGTGCTGGCGGACGCCGTCGGCAAGGGATCTTCTGGCAGCAGCCAAGTCAAGGCGTGGACGGAGATGGTTCTCAAGCGGGAGCGAAGCATGAAGGTGAAGCGGACAAGCACCGCAGCTCCTCCGCCACCCGCCAAAGACAGTGCCATCCCTGTTCCAACGACCCCATCGGCGCGGGCGCCACCCGTGGGTCGTCCTGGCCACAAGCACACTCAGTCACAGCCAGAAGTTCGCGGTCTGGATGCTCGCCGGCAGAAGACGCGGTCCCTGATGTTCTAGAGATGTTCTAGAGTTGAGTTGCTTTTTGTGTTCCACTATGTTCTCCGTTTCACCTTCTTGTGACTTGCTTTTATTTCAGTACCTCCCTTCTTTGTGAGTTGTCTTCTTTTTTCTATGTTTGATCTTTGCTTCTTGTACGGTGTTGGAGTCTAGCCTTCCTGCTGCATCTTCCTTTTGTTCTACCATTTGAATTGAGACTTTCAGCATTCAGCACTGCTCGTTATGCAAGCGTTGTCATTTCTCTTTGTTTGTGATATTCCGTCTACTTTTTCGTCCTTGATTCCTGCACCGCCCTTTAATGATACATAGCGCCTTTCCTTCATGAGTCCATAATTGAGTTCTCGTTTCTCTGTGTATCAAAAGATCTCGGTCCTATTTCATCTGTTGGGTTCTACTTAGAAATTGTAACATTTGACGTCAAGGTTGCTCTAGCAGTCTGTAGTAAGCTATTCATGGCTTATATAAGTTAACCAAAATCAGCGTTTTCAGCTGGACTCGTATTCCGTTCTCCTATTAACCCTCTACGATATTGAACGTAGGGTTCGATGTAATGGCTACCCGTCTCCCGCTCTTATATAGTTCCGCAGATCTTCTCCCCATCACAAAGCAATAGCATACTATATCAAAATATGATAGTAACTTAATCCCTGTAGTACAAGCCAATGACTCGATAAAAGAGACGGAAAACATGATGCACTATTATACGCTGCTCAGTAAAAGGAGCACTCATTTGGGTTTCCCGTCAAGCGCGTGTGTGGTCGGTCCGACTTCTCTAATTCGTCTCACCTGAGTATGTTATTTCCATGGAGCTCTTGACTATTGATTCCCAAGCTTCGAGCCGTGTGATTGCATATATCTTCTAGAGACTACATCGATCAGCCTATATCTCCTGCTACGGATAAAGCTCGCACCTTCTCGAATAGAAAGAAAGAACGCGTCTCCTACACCTTCTTCCTCTGTTTCCTCTACATACTTGAATTGCTGCTAGCATCAAACCAACACCTGCTAAATTGATGTTCTACAAGTCTACTTTTTTTTTTCTCTTCTTTGTATCCATGTACTTTACCGAACGCCTTCTACTCCTGTTCGAGGCAATGCCTCAAATCCTGTCATGCGTCTTCCCTCGAGTGTCTTCTCTAGACGAAATTCACTACGCATGGAGACAACAGTACACTGAACACCATGGTTAACCTCGTTTAGCCGTGAGAGACGCCAGCACAGACAAGGCCTAAATTATGATTCTTTTTGGGAATGCATAACAGAGAACTTGACAATATCAGTGACAAATAGCGACAAGACAAAAAAAGAAGAAAAAGAGAAAACCACATTCCGCCGTGTGCCTTCCAGGCAGTATCCCTCTCCCCTCGGTCATTTAAATCCATGGATTGATGACAGAATTCCAGTAAACCGAGCTCCCATACACTTGGCCAGCCAGCTTGAGGCCTTTCATCCTCTTCTCCCATCCAACCCCCAAACATAGGCATTCATAAGACGTGCACTAATCTCATCCGTTTCCTCCTTCCTTGGATTGAATTTGACCCGCCCGGAATAGCTAATTTTCGAATGCATGTACCTTTTCCCTTCCCTCGAAATCAGATTGACTTGGCCCAGAGCGACAAAGTCGCTAGCTACAACTCCAATTCTCTTGCCCCTATAGCCATCACAACATTCACACATCGGTGTACAGTGGCCGAGGGCTTCTCGGTTGCTCCTCGTGCATCGTGGCTTCTCACAGCAGCCACAAGACCGGCCACAACAACCCCCCTCCCTAACACACTTCTCCCGAAGCCATGTGTCCCTGAGATACCAATTTGCATCGCGTCGTTGAGAATCCATAGCGCGGTACAGTGGAGTGTGTCCCATTTTCCATTTTAGAAGTTTCTTAACTCCTTCGGTGGAGCGCACATCGTTATTGTATTCTTCCAGTTTCCGTTCCGATTCCCTCAGTTTTTCTTTGTAGTTGTTCATCTCGTTGGGGTCGTCACTTGGAGGTTCTTCGCTCTTCATCTTTTTATAAGTTTGTAACTCTTGATCCCTTGCTTGTAATATAAGATATAGAAATTCCTCATTCTCAAAGTAATCATTGATATATTGCCACTGGTCCTCAGAAAGACCAATATATTGGTGCTGTAGTTTGCGCAATTTCTGGGCCTTTTGTGTTTTCCCTGATTTCTCGAGAATTGTCTCCACGGGCTCGAAGATAGCACTGCTGGCTTTGACCAGCGTGTGTCGCATGGAATCCGGTAGAGACTTGCTGAGCTTCATGTTTAGACGTAGTAGTCGAGTTGCGGGGAAGGAAGGGTAGCGATATGACTGAGAATTCTAGAAAGAGAATACGTGAGATAAAATTCAGAGAGACGAATATGTGTGTGTGTATGTATGTATAGGCCATGATTACACTAATCAGGATCATGTATCGCTCGTCTCATCTGTAGCTCACTATCCCGTCCATAATATGACGTACAGGCCGAAACTACTCCCATTACCTAAGAGAAACATCTTCAATCTATTTAAGATACTTTGAACGCGAGGAAATGACATGTTGCTGTATACTACAATGGTAGCCACATTGGCAACGAGCATCCAAGGTGCCGCAGCTATGAAGTGATGTTGATAGAGATGAGATTCAATTGACCACTTCACATTACAGTCTTGATTCCCTTAATACATTCAATACCTAGGGTGAGTAACACTCGATTCTGTTGGGTTGAAGTAAGTAAATTTTCATTTACTTCTGTTTCCCCAGGGGATCCAGCATTTCCAATATTAGCTTAAAGTGAATTGGCCCACCCAGGAGCGACTATAAAAAACCCCTTCTTCCCCACCTCTCTTCCTCGCTTCTATTCATCCCACTCCAAGCTCATGGACATCTCCTGGTTCGCAATCTTCCTACTATGGGAAAATGACTGACGACCCGAGCGTTCAATCAATTTCCATTGATACTAAGTTTTTAGATGCGCTCCTTGTTGGATCAAGACCAGAGTACCAGATATCAATGTCAAATCGGGCATGGAACTCATCGGCGTCAATGTGATGGATGGGGAGACTGTGGTTAATGACAGAACTCGGTCTCGTTCAAATCTTGCCATTGTCACGTAGGTATGTGGTTTTCGTGGCGAGAGTCGCTCCTTCCCTTGTGTCTTCCTGCCAACCCAGACAACACTCTAACATGATATCTTCGATTAGCAGGTCTAGGAAGTTCGAACAACCATCACTGCCAACGTTGCTTACTCTGTTTACCATCATCACTGCAATTATTAAACACTCTTCTTACGATCATCACTTCAATTATTGAGCACTACGTTTACCATTATCATCGTCTATTGCTACAGAACTCTTCCTTTCTTCTCAAAGGGGAAAGAAAAATAACAAACTATGCCTGCTATTCCTAATCGTGTTAGCCTATCCATGCTAGGACCATAGTGGGCTGCCATGGTCAGCTACGTTGTTGCTACATGCTTAACCACCGTCCTCCTTGGTGTTCTGATATGGTGGTGGTTTTCTAACCGGTGAGTTCTACGGAGATGATACGATTTCTAACCCATACATGTCAGGCACGATTGCTGACTTGGCTTACAGAAAGGCAATCGTTGAGTTTTCCATAAGTCGACACCCCCGACACAGCGCAAGAACTTCAAGAACTGGCGGGCTGGACCCCTCCTGGTATGCTGAAGATGTCTAGTATTTGATGCTGCATAAACTGACCTTGTTGAATAAACTAGGCAGTAGTACCGCGGGCCACAAGGAACACACCGAAACTGAAAATTTGGGATCAAACGGTGATAATGGAAATGGTGAAGGCACAAGCAAAGTCGAAGCAGGCAGTGGTGAAGAGGAACCCCGACTTGAAAGCCCATGAAAATCTCGTGTTAACGTTGACCTGCTGCACGTCACGTTAGCTCTTAGTTTGTCTACAACGCGCAACTCGAACAATTTGCTCTACTCTGCGTGTATTATCAGCTTTAGTTGAATGCCCATTCGGTCTCTCTCTTACTGGTATATCGGCAGTACACGGAAAAGATGGAACCAGAAACTTTAGCATGGCGACAGACAGGACAAAAGAAATTGAGCAGTAAGAAGAACTATCTGCCCAACGTGCAACATTACTCTACCAGATAGAGAAGGCTTTGGCCTCAACTTCTTCATGAGGCGTCTTCACTCTCATTTCATGCACGTGAACACAGCAGTTTACTACGATCTTTATCTTTTATCATTTCCTTTGTTCCTTAACTTTATTAACGAGTTCCCTATCTTGAGAGTTCTGCGGTGATGGCAACTTCGAACGTCAACCGGGAGTTTCACTCAGATCATGTACTTCTTTCTGCTCGTCTGGGTGATGCCTGGCATGATTGCCGTCCACTTGATCTCGTTGTACCCAGAATTTTATCGTTGCCTGAAGTTCAAAGATGGAGGAAAACCGCAGAAAAAAAAGAAGGAAAACAGAAAGAGGAGAAGAAGAGGATTGGTTCTATGGGGAAGCAGAATACGATTCCTTGACGTGTACAATATCTTACCAATTGAGATCTCAATCCATTCTTGTTATTCAATTAACCCCACTACTTTAATACTGACCATGAAGACGCCTCACCATTTGAAGCAAAATTATCTAATGGTGAGTCACCTATCCCCTTCGCCTGACCAGCTAGACGCGATATATCATTTTTGTTCTAGTGGTTAGTGCTTCGACAACAACTAATATAGCGCAATGCGCCATTGACCCACCCAGCCCAAAGTCGGAAGCACAGATCTAACGCAAAAGCGACGTCTATCCAACACGTAAAAAGATCATCAGCGACGTAGCTATGCACAGCTAACAAATATGATTTTGCGCAGATGAAATCTATGTTGCACCTGCTAAGGCAAACTAGTAGTTGCCTATAGGGCAGTCGCCTCTCCATACGGCACTCTCCTGCTATATACCATTAGTATATAGTACTTAGTGCTATATCGATGTGAAATTCATAGCCACAACCGGTGGCGGCGTTTCACTTGGGTTATACATGCATCCTATTTACATGCAGCCCGTCTCGATGAACTAGCCAAGAGGATCTTTGATTATTTAGAGCATCTGACATCTCGCAACATGGAGGAACCGAGACTTCTTATAGTGAAGTTCCGTTTCGATGTTGATCCTGAGAATATTGACAATATAGCCAATTTGCTGAAGCCTTAAATGGCCTATCGAAAGGTCTTCCATATTCCAAACCATACAACGCATATCGCACTCACAGTGGTGACCTGAAAATCCAATAGATCATATACTACCCAACCGAAGCAATGTGCTGTGCTGTGCTGTGCTGGGCTCTGGTTCAGTATGTCGATGCTGTGGATATTCTCAATATAATAATGATATGCATTTAGTTATCTCCCACGGTGGAGACGTGAGAATATCATACGGCCAGCAGACGCCGCGTTTGGTTATGGAACAGGATTATCGAAAGTGGGACGGACACTTTTGACAACATCGATGAATACGTAGTCAAACTCGCTTACGATTCTCAGGCTCCGAGAATCGCATATAGCTAACAAAAAGAGAAAAAGAAAAAGGGGGTTCGTTACATTTTCAGGCCTTAGTTCCCCGTTGTGTTTAATTTTGGACTTTCAAATGGAGATACATCCGAATATATGATCGATATCGTATGGCATATAGCACCTTGCTATAACGACGAAGAGTGGATTGTTTGTCCAATAATATTTACTGGGTTGGGCCATCTAGTCAACTTTTAAGCAGTCGATATCTTTGACAAGGTTGGTAAATCCGTCTTATAAAGACACATTATGGAACCTTGCTCGAATGGAGACGCCAATACGAGCAGATCAAAAGGTTACAGGAGGTTCCAGCAATATTTCAATTACGAAGATTGGATCCGCTATCATTGCCCACATCCATACAGCTGCAGAGTCCCTCAAAGACAACTTGCTGACCGCGGAAATGAAGGGGACCGATAGAGTCTTGCCCGGATCTACGGGAAATACTGGCCAGAGTAAACAATAGAAAAGATAGGTTCAGCTATAATCGCCCACGTTCGTCCGGACCTCTTTTTTTAAATCAAAGACAACTTATTGCCGACAGAGATCCGTGGATAGAGGTCATATTACCGGAATTTACGGACATGAAACTCACGGTAGAGGTTCCCCAGACATTAGACCCAGCAGCGGACTATATAGTTAGCGGATTTACTCTCGCTGAATATCCCTGGAATGATATGAATGCTATCAAATATAGGAAACGGGCTATTCCCCGAGTTTACCGATATTAAAATCACAGTAAAGGTTCCACAGATATCAGGCCCAGCATCGGAATGGACAGTCACTGGGCTCACTCTCGCTGAGTATCCTTGGAATGAAATATAATACTACAAGATATAGAAAGCGGGCATATTGCCCAATTTCACAACTCTCAAACTCACAATCAAAGTCCCTTAGACAGCGGGTCCAATTTCTAATTGAAAAGGTGAGAGTGCCAGGGTTTACGGTGGCCGAGTACACTGAAGATATCTCGCCAGACGAGTTGAACATGGTACTCTACGGCGATCGGTCTGACAAGTTACTGAACGACAGAGCTTTCACTAGTGAACGGTCTGGGAGTAATAATTTTCGACATCAATGGGGCCCTTGTGGAGAGGCAAGTAAATGCTCTAGCAAAGCTTCGCTCGGGCGAGGATGGAGTCAATTGGTGGGGTGACATTCGAGAAAGTGGTGGAATACATGCTTTTTAATACCGTCGTCTTTGTTTAGTGTTGGGTTTGGGCGGTAACGGGCACTATTATGAGGATCAAAGATAGAAGCAACCGGTTACAGTTACTATATGTTGATGAATGGACGTGCTTTAATATGGGCTTCATATGGAAATATACGTGGTTTTGTGTATGCTTGAGGTTATTTACTTGCCAGTAGAAGCAAGCAGTTGGTGGATAGTAGTAGTACATGGGACACACTTTGACAAGTAGCAGAGCTCATATGTTTAAAAAATACTCAATAAACTGCCACGGTGGTGCTTAACCGGTTTTGTAGCTAAGCATGTGGGAAGGCTACTACTACCTGCATTCAAAGCCACAGTAGCAACGATTGGCGAAATATATCAATAGAATCCACAGTACGTCAAGCTCCGAGAGCTACAAAGAAACAAACATATCCAAAGTCGACTCGAACAAATTGCCGTCCATGCTGGACTCTACAGCCCGCGCGCATACGTGTCGAGGTACGCAGCTGTAGCGTTGTCTGTGAACAGTTAGCAAAATTACCTTCATCATGAGACAAATAAACTTACAAGACTCCACACCCTTCTCCACGTTCAGGTTCATATACACGGGAC